TTTTATTTATTTTACTACTCCAACAAATTATTGCGTATACGTAGGGATGATCACGGTTCGATTTGAATTGAACCGGATACTAAAACAATCGAATTAATAGTTTACGGTTATAATTCAGATCTAGAACCCAATATTTAAATGCCAATTTATTAAAATTATCTATCAAAAAAATTGAATCTTGAACCGTGAACCGGCGGTTCCGGATCTGATTCGCGATTTTGAACCGTCTTTATTTTAAAATTTTATTTTTTATTTTAAAATAGTCTAAATTCAACAATAAATGTATTTTATTTTTTCAGTTCGGAACATTAACCGTCCGTTCCGGTTCACGATTTTAATAAACTCTAAATATCAAATTTCGATTCTAAATTGTAATTGGAATATTTCTGTTTGGTTGCTATAGTGTTTGTTTAGTTTGAACCAAATTATGGTCATAATTTGTTGGAGAAAAAAAAAATTAAATATTTAGTTTAAGGGTAAATATGTCCATTTAACATTTCAGGGAGAAAAACAGCCACTTCAATAATTTAGGGGGAAAAAATGCTATAGGTATATAACTCAGGGGGAAAAAGTGTCATTTTCCCTATATAATTTTATATTATTATCTCTAAAATATCAAGCGAGTATATAAATGCAAAATTATGGTAAAATTGGAAATTTCTTTCTCTAATACTCTTATCCTTCGTACGACCTATGCCCCCGTTTGTTTTTCTACTCCTCTTCCGGTGTAAAAGTGTGGATCTCCTTAGTATAACAGAATAGCAGACCATTGATTTTTTCTCCTCCGGTGTAAAAGACTAAAAGGGTGGAGCTGCAGAGCTAAGATACCTAAGCGTGGCCCATGGAAATCAGAAGATAAGATACCTAAGCCATGTGTCCTCTCTCCGTATCACCTCTACCCATGATATTCGGACTGGTACCACTCTTAGTATCACCACTCTCCCCTGTCATCTTCGTACCCCTACTCTGTCCTTGATCCCAAAACGGCTAACTTTGTCAATAACGTGAGCAGGGCCCATATCCAGCTAGTGACTGTTTATGCAATAACGTGAAGCAAAGAATGTTACCTGGCGCGTGGCTAAAAGGGGTTAGGCTGCGGGCACTGCCTCACCTACTACATAGTCAGCAGTCACACCTTAACGTACCTTAACTCCCTTCACTGCCATTTATTTAAACTTCCCTCAAGAAAATCAAAACTTGCACGCAAAAAAACTACCCAAAAGATCATCCACATTAAAAAACCTTTATTGATTTTTGTCTGCAAAAACCTCATACAATCCACAAGTGTAGATACTCTTACACTGCTTCTTCAATATGTATTATCCAAAACATGGTTCCGTGATTGACCTCGAGGTGTTTATAGTGGTTATAGCTACGATCAATGTCATTGCAGTTCTCATCTTGATGAAGAAGCCTACAAAGTTTTATTTGGGTCTGAGCACTTTGATGATGTTTATGTGGACTGCACTGCGGTGTGCATGAGTCTTTTTTGAAGCCATTCAATATGGAAAGCATATAACCCGTAATTAATTATATGCTTCTAAGCCTTGTTATATCATTCTATTGTATGTCTCAATACACTTGTATTGGTAAGAGTAATCGACAACTTTTGATCAAAATTGTTATTTGGTTTGAAACTTTTTTCATTGACTGTTTAGAGATTGACATTCTACTTGAACCAAACAAGATAATATAACATTACCAGACTCAGATTACCTAGGTAATCTAAGATGACCTGAACCAAACGCCCCCTAAGGGCATCCCCAATAGTGGGAGATTTTACCGCAAATTTTTGTGGGTCCCATCCACCTCATCATCCACTATCTCACTCAATCACAAAATATCTTCTTCCCATTAGTTTTAAGTTTTTTCATAACTTTTTGTGGACCCACCATTTTATCTCCATATTTTAATTATTTTATTATTTATTTGATTTATAAATTTATAATTTTAATTTAATCATAACATATCTACAAATTAAAATTTAATTTAATTAATAAATATAAATTTAATAACAATAATAACTTAAAAAATTAAATAAAATTATATTAATAATTTAAAAATAAAATCAAGAATTTTAAAAAGTTAAATAAAAAATAAAATATATTAAAAAAAAAAAAGAAGAAGAAGAAGAAGAAAGAAAGAAGCTGGACGTTTTAAAAAAAAAAAAAAATCTTTAATTAGGAGATTGTGAAATTTGAGAGTGGCCGCCAGCTGCAGTCCGCTGACAAGTTTTTCTATTTTTTATTATTTTTAAAAAAATAATCTGAGACATTTTTTTTTCTTGCAGGAAGAAACGTCCAAACGTTCTTTCTCTCATTTGTTAAAAGTTGAGCTTAAGGATTTTATTGTTCCAAAAGCTTGGGATGAACCCTTTATTGGGATGCCCTAAGAACATTTCAATATTGGCAATGCATTGACATTTGGAACCTAGTTTTAGTTATTTATTTCTTTACATGCAGTCTCTAACAATCATGTAACCACCATCACAACTTCTAATATCTTCAAGATTTTTGTAAGTTCAAATCATGTGCAACCACTATCAAAGTACTAACAATTTATTACTTTTTTTTTATAAAAAAAAAAAAAAAAAACACATTTTTGATAAGTTACTGGATGAGTTTGATCTTTTCTTACTCATATTCTTTTCATTTGAGAATCTTTGATTATGAAATTGAGTCCTTTGATCATTCTTGAGTTTTTTTTTGTTTTTTTTTTTTTTTTTGGTAACAATAAGCTTTAATATGTCCAATTTCGTTGTAGTAATAACATCTTACTTTTCTTCTGTGTAGATTTTTTGATTTTTTCTTGTACCTAGAATTCTGCTACACTGGTGCAATGTGTTCACACTTTGAACTTCATTGAGATTGAATATATACCTTGCGTGCTTGTCAATAAGAATAGTTGAATAATAAAAAAAAAAACAGGCGATCGACAATTTGACAAACCCTAAATCCATTGAAAAATCAGGTCAGTTAATCAAGGATTTAGCTAAAAACTTAAGTGATTATTTGTTCTAATATCACTTGTAAAATTTTGACATGATTTATACAGAAAATGCACATAGATAAAATTATGCTCAAGATTTTTGTGGGTATTCCAACACACTCATAGATAGTGAAGAAAAAAATAGAGACAAACAAAGAACAAGAACGTAACCAGATTGTAGATATTATGAAAAATAGCATATCCAATAAAAAACACTAGATTTAAGGCAGTTCAAAAACTTCCATACTTTGTGGGGGAAACACCCTAAGTTTATAGCCAAATTTGCTATATTAAATTTACAGTACAAGATTCAAAAGGACTAGCTTACACCATTGTAAAAATTCATGTCATCTACCAATTGTATGTAACCATGACAGCCCAAACTAGTATTACTATACAGGAACTCAAACTACACAAGATTTTCCCCATCTTGTATATCATCTACAAAGAGTTCCCAGCCCAAATGAATGATTAACAATATAATAAATTGTTGCTTACAAGAAACACACAATACCCCAATCTCTAAAAACTCTCTAGATGTTGAAGATCAATGTCTTTTCCCACTTTTTTGTCTTATTCAAATTATATATGATAGTGTAAATTGGCTCAGGTCAACCTATGCAACAAGAATGAATAGTAAAAAAGCAAAAGTGAGACAAGTCATTTATCTTAAATTTGAAAGGAAAAAAATCACAATTTTTTTTTGGGTTGGGTTAAGCCAAAATTCACTATTATTATTGAGTAGTACATATTCCGACCTCTATTTAGTGCTATTGAAATATAAAACAAATATAAGGGAAAAATAATGAGGTTGGGAAGCTAAGGGTTCAATCCTACAAGATCGGCAAGCTTCGGTTTGAGTGGTGCAAGTTGGCAGTAGAAGCCCCACACTAGGTAGAGTACTCTATTTATACTCAGTGGGAAGGGGACATAATGATGGTAAATACTGACATAACTGACGTGACATTCATTAATTGGGCATGTGTAAGCTATTGAGGTAAGAGTAGAGTTTAACTATCTAGCCATGATGTGGAAATCTACTGATACACAGATCATTATGTCTACAGACAGGGAGGTTGGTAAGTTTACAGACGGGGGAGATCGGTAAGTCTACTGACATAAAGGTCGGTAAGTATACTAATATGGCGATGGGTAAATCTATTGCCATAAAGGTCATGTAGACTCTTCCGGTTGGGAAATACACTCGGCCGCAGCTAGAAGGACCCTCTAGGTCAGGGAGTGTACTTATGAGTCCTCCTGGGCTCCTGCGGTCGAGAAGTGCTCTTGTGAAGCCCCTTCCCGGGCCTCTCCCTTCTCAAGGTCAAGAAGTGTACTTATGAGCCCTCTTGAGGTAGGGAAGTGCACTTGTAAACCCTCCGGAGATCGTGAAGTGCACTTATAAAGCTTCCAAAGATCAAGAAAAGCACTTGTAAACTACGTAGGACAAGTAAGGTTGCCCTATACCTCTATCAATATAAACTCCAATCTTTGTCCCATCCTTTGCTGAATTAGGAACGACATAACCTTCTTGAAATAGGGAACTTGTTTCCTTTTTCTTCTCTTCTTTGGACCCTCTTCTTGATGGGAAAATCTTTAATACTTGGACTCCAACAAATAGTCTTATACAAGATAATCAAGATTCTCAATTTCTTGACTTGATCTCAAAATTCTTTAAAAATTCAAATTCCACTTGGAAAAAAGAAATTAATTTGTTTCCAAACTACATGTTTTTCTAAAATACATTGTAAATATAAAATGACAAAAATAATACTACACCTACTTTCATTTTTTACTATTTACTAATGTGACACATTTTGATTAATTTTAAAAAGTAGAAATGATAGTAAATAAATAGATATGGACATTTACTAGAGAAAATATATTATATATTATAATAATACATTAACTACACTCTCCAAGAAGAAATTTTCACATAAATCAGAAAAGAAAACTATGAAATTCACTCAACTTGTGGTAAATCTCTCTTCAAAGAAAAAACTTTAGACACTGAGAAAACAAATGCCCTCAATAAACAGAAATAAAGATAAGTGTTTAAACAAAATAAATAAACCTCAAACAACATTCAAATCCTGGGTTTTTTTTGTTCTTTTCTGAAACTTACAGTACAAAGACAAAACCAACAAAATTTCCAGTAGTAGATTTGGACTTGTGACCAAATTGGGAAACTGCAACCCCCTATCGAAATACAAAGGCCAGAATTTCCCAACACCAAGTCCAGTACACAACTAGCCTATGAAATAAGTGATGAAATAGTAGAGAGCTTCAATTGAGGAACAATTCAACTCGCCTTTGACCCAATCACAGGAGATCAGCGACATTTGCTGGCAACTCTTCGACTAGAACATTATAAAACTTCTGTATGTCAAAAAGCATCCTTTCGTCATCCTTGGTGACAAAGTTGATAGCCACACCCTTCCTTCCAAATCGTCCACTTCGTCCAATACGGTGGAGGTAATTTTCTGGCTGAGTAGGGAGGTCGTAGTTGATCACAAGTGACACTTGTTGGACATCAATACCACGAGCCAAGAGATCAGTGGTGATAAGCACTCTGGAAGAACCAGACCGAAATTCACGCATGATGATGTCCCTAGTGTTCTGGTCCATGTCCCCGTGAGTTGCAGAAACTGTGTGATCACGGCTACGCATTTTGTCGGTGAGCCAATCAACCTTTCGCCTGGTGTTAACAAAGATGACACTCTGGGTGATGGCCAGTGTCTCATAAAGATCACAAAGTGTATCGAGCTTCCACTCCTCTTTGTCGACATTGACATAGAACTGCTTGATACCTTCCAGAGTGAGCTCATCACGTTTCACAAGAATCCTAACAGGCTTGTTCATAAACTTTCGGGTGATTTCAAGAGCCTCAGGTGGCATAGTAGCAGAGAAAACACCAACCTGTATCTTTGGTGGTAACAACTGGAAAATATCATAGATCTGAAAGAGAAAAAAAAATTACCACACAAATATTAGTTTCTATCCACAAGCAATTATGTCAACTTCATCAGCCTCCTGCGAATATGGATTTTGAATAATAAAATTAGAGCAGAAAACACCAACATAATATTATCATCCAAAACCTATAAAAAATAAAAAATAAAAAATAAAAAATAAATAACAGCAACAATAATAATACAATGCACAAATCAAAATATAATAGTTAATCATGCAAATTTCATATTCATGCCACTGAAGTTCTTAATAATTCCAAATGAAATCATACCATAAAATAAGTTCAACACAAATCTAGAATACAAGTATAAAATCATAATATAGGGATAAATTAAAACCTGATCCTTGAATCCTCTGGAGAGCATTTCATCAGCTTCATCCAACACAAACATCTTGATATGGTCAGGGCGAAGAGACTGCCTGCGCAACATGTCAAAGACACGTCCTGGAGTTCCAACCACAACATGAACACCACTTTGAAGAATCCGTTGATCTTCACGAACACTGGTACCTCCAACACAAGCATGGACCTTAACACCAAGATAATCACCAAGTGCACGCATAACCTTCTCAATTTGTTGAGCAAGCTCACGTGTTGGTGCAAGAACCAAAGCCTGGCATTCAACTAAGCTGTAATCAAGCTGTTGAAGAATCCCAGAACAGAAAGTAGCTGTCTTTCCTGTTCCAGATTGAGCCTGTTGAATAACATCAAGACCCTTACAGAAGGGAACAATCCCTCTTTGTTGAATTGCAGAAGGCTTCTCAAAACCTTAAACCAAGTCAAACCCAACTTTTAGCTATTAAAATACACATAAAACTTAAATAGAAACCATAAAAGAAAATTTAAATATCAAGAGTCAAAAAGCCCTGAACACTATAATATTAAAGGTGCATGCAAGCTGAAATTTGAATGAACAAGGGGTTGCTTATGAAATGAGCGTTGAAACAATGTGCTCAGGCTTGGTTTGTTTTCACTTCACTTGTATTCGGCCCATTTAACTAAAATGAGCTTGCTCACGAGCATATATAACAAGTTGTGTGCAAATAGCTTGTTTATTGGCTTGTTAAAATTTAAATTTAAAATATTTTTAAAATTAAATTGAACTATTATGCATCAGATCAGAAATTGAGCCCATAACATAAATATGATTTTGCCCTAAGTTATAACAAGCACACCACACCACACCACACCACACCAGCTTGCTTAAACCCCTATGGTTCATGGCTTTAATAAGGCATGGTTCTACAAGCACAATAATAGAAAAGGTAGTAGTTGTTTGCTTAGAATTCCAGTCTCCATGTTATGTTATAAAAGAACTCTATATACAAAGAACAAAGAAGGCTAGGAATTAATTACCATAAGCATAGATTCCCCTAAGAAGGTTTTCTTGCAAGCCCATGGAGTCAAAGCTTTCGTAAACCTCATCATAGGATGTGAAAAATTCCTGTCCATCAGTGTCCAGCCTGCACCAGTGCACCAACAATGCAGAAAGTCATAAATCACATCAATAATGAAAATAAATAGATAGGTCATACCCAGAGTTGAGGGTCCAACTTTTCTAATCATTTTTCTGGGAGGGGAAGGAGAGGGGTTTTAGCAAGAACTGCCTTCTGCAGTCATATTATGGCAGTAAAAGTTAATAGTAGATGGTTAGTGGAACTTACAATTCAGTCATTTTTGCATCATACTGTCGAGCATCAAATTGAGAACCCTCAGGAGCCAAGCCAGCCATGACTGTAAAAGATAGTAACTGTTGAGGTAAATTCTGATACATAATTCACTAAACACTCCAGAGGAGAAATATCTGAGGTTTCTTAAAAACAATAAACGGAAAACAACCTAAAACAAGTGAGATCTAACACACTATGAGGTGAAACAAATAAGCTCTAAGATTTCTTGGATACAAAGCCATAAATGTAAAGGAATCATTGATTTTACAACCACTCAACTTACTGAAGATTAGTGATCCATATTAAGGAGAAAATATTTATAAAGAGTATTAGGGTCATAAACAAATCAATGTCAGCATACTCATTGGATATTGAAAAAATCCTGGTATTAGATGCATCCGTTAACATTCTAGCAAACTGATAATTGCAACAACCACAATACTATAAGTTTTTATTTTTTAGTCTTTTTAGTCCCCAAGCTCCCAAAACTTAAAATCAGCTCTTCTTCCCACTTCAGGACTATACTTTAGTCTGTTTTCCAACCCCAGATGCAAACAAAAAGGATTGAAATATCTAATCATCCGCCCAACCTCATCCCACAAGAGGACTTGATAAAGTTCCCCAACTAACTAGTACACCCCAAAATAGAACACTTAGGTTTGGTACTACAGTAGCAACTGATAATGATTACACATGCCCATGAACCCATATTTGATCAAGGACACAACAATAGAACTTCTTTCTAGGTCGCTAAACACTAAAGAATCAAGAATAAAGAGCATAAAATCCCATTAGATTCTCAGATATTTCAAGAATCAGAAGTTAAAAGTTAAAACTTCCAACAGACCAAGAGCACAGGCATCAAATTAAGATCGAAAATTTCTAAATCAATCCTATCAAAAAAATCTTCCATAAAACAAAACGCACAGAAATCATCAAAGTCCAACGACCTCACAGCACCATCATCAACCCCCATCAATCATCAAGATCCAAACTTTGATGCCACAGAACGATGCATATACATATACAAACACAAAAACATGCAGAGAGAAAGAGAGATAGAAAGAGTACTTGATAGCAGTGAAGATGGAATGAAGATCTGAAGATGCGTAGAGAGTTTTAGGATTAGGGTTTTCTTCGATTGTGGTGGCTGGTTCTGATTTTCTCTCCAAAACTCCTCGGATCTACGCCGCGGAGTTGAGGAAACACAAAAGTGAGGAGAGAGATGGGGGAGGGGCTGATGTATAGTCGAAGAAAAAAGCAGAATATTTGTGGGATTGGGATTGGGATTGCTCCCACGTCGTTTTTGCGATTAAAAATGTCAAATTTTAGTCGTTTAGGGTCGGTTGAATGATTTTGTTTGGGCCTTAACCAACTACCATTGAATTGGACCTTTCTAGCCTCAGTCATAAATTATCGAACTTACATTTCGGTTTAATTTAAGCCCATATCTTATTGATTATCCACTCACTCTGTAACTGCAAATTATGCTCTGGACCGTGTCACAATGCATTATGGACACGAGTTTAAAATGACGTTGTTTTCAAGGAAAACGTGTCATTCCAGTTTAAAAGAAAAAAATTTGATTTTGTCTCGCCGTTAACAGCGTTATTCGTTTGTGGGATTATGAATGTACAGTTATGACGTTATGAATGTACAGTTATGGAATTATGAACACAGAGCTCTGACATTATGAACTTACAATTATGAACATATAGTGATAAAATTATGAACATAGAGCTCTAAAATTGTGAACATAGAGTTTCAAAAATTATGAATGTACAGTTATAGAGTTATGAATGTACAGTTATGGGATTATGAATGTACAGTTATGGAATTATGAATGTACAGTTATTGAATTATGAACACAAAGCTCTGACATTATGAACTTACAATTATGAACATATAGTGATAAAATTATGAACATAGAGCTCTAAAATTGTGAACATAGAGTTTCAAAAATTATGAATTTACAGTTATTGAATTATGAATGTACAGTTACGGAATTATGAATGTAAAGTTATGAAATTATGAATGTACAGTTATGAAATTATGAACACAGAACTCTGACATTATGAACTCACAATTATGAACATATAGTGATAAAATTATGAACATATGCTCCTATAACGAAGCGGTCTGAAATTTTTTTTTTTAAAGTGAAAGATAACAGTGCCACTAACGGCACCGTTACCGTGTCCACACTGTAGGCTGGACACGAGTCCATAGCATAACGATTGCTCTGTAACCAATCAATCATTATTGTGTGAACCATGGTCTAGATCATATTTTGTATGTTATAAAATAATGTATATTTAGTATAAAAATAATATACTTTTAGTATATTAATAATGTACATTATATTAAGAAAAAGTGCATTATTTGAGTACTGAAAGTACATTAATTTGTATAATTTACATTCAATACATAAATAATGTACACTTAGTATATTAAAAATGTACTTTTTATTTATGTTTCACACAGCACTGTGTGACCATAATCTGCCATAACCAATGACAAATTATTTTGTGGATCCGGGTCCACCTTGCAAGGTGGATCTGAGTCTAGAAATACACAATTTACATACTGAATGTTTACAATTTACATACTAAATGTTCACAATTTACATACTGAATGTTCATAATTTACATATTAAATGTTCACAATTTAATTTTTATAAAGTTGTCCATCGTAAATTGTCATTGGTTACCAGTAGTTATACCATGGACCCGAATCTAAAATGCATAATTTACATACTGAATGTTCAAAATTTACATACTTTTACAAACTTATGAACATTCAGTAGGTAAATTGTGTAGTTTGGACCATGGTCAAGGTGGACCTGGGTCCACACAATAATTTGCCACTCAATAACTTTTTTTTTTCCTGTACCCAAACCAGTTTCTTTCGTGCATACCTGGTCAATCTTATTTCCGATATGATTATGAGTTTATCTCGGCATCTTCGAAAATAACAGGTAACAATTGTAACATTTTGTTAAAGGGCATGGTTGTTTTAATCCATGTGTATTATGTGAGATAAGTCTTTACTCTTAAAAGACATGTTTACCAAGGTAGAGACTGTGATAAGTCTTTTCTCTTAAAAGGCATATTCGTTAAGGTAGAGATTTGTTGAGTGTCTTTTCTCCTAAAGGCATATTCGTCAAGGTGTAGATTGTTGAGTTTGTCTCATATAGAGATTAGGAATATGTGTCTATCTCATATAAGGAATATGAGTAAGTATATTGGGTCGGGTCCATTGTATAGGGATAGATGTCTATAAATACATTGGTTGTATCCATATGAGTGATATCAACACCATCACCATCAAAATTGATAAAAGAATAGTTATACTCCAGTCGATGTAGGCAATCGCCGAACCATATAAATCTTACATTTTTCTGTCATTATTATTGTTTTTTGTTCTTGTTAATCTCAACAATATGTTCACCTAGCTTGAACTATCCTAGAAGCAGCTCGAACAGGTAAGAACCTCGCTACCTGGTTTCATAGGGAATTCTATCGAGATAGAAATCTCAATCATGCTCTCGATGGAGGTCGGAACCTCGCCCTCATGTCAAAAGATGGGAAGTCAAATTCGTGGTGGTCAAGATCAATTGTGCCAACAAAATTATCCCAGGTCTACCCGCTATGGACGAACTCAAGTGTGTGATCTCGATATTGTTTTTTTTTTTTTAAAGGGTTATTTCGCTCAAAACGGCGTCATTTTGAACGAAATAACCCTAAATCGTTCAAATTGGTCGCAAATTCAAAAAATGTAATTTAAAAAAAAAAAACAAACAAAATCAACTACTCTAATATTAATACTTTGTAAGTTATGACTTTGTGGAATTGTATTTTGATTCTTTAAATCTTTATTCAATTTACAATTTAGATTTTTTTATGTTAATATTTAATATTTTAATATTAACAAATAAAATATTAAATAGTTTATAATTATCAAATCTTAATTTAAAAAAAAAAAAATAAAATAGAGCGCTTAAGGAATGACTAGCGATTTTTGCAACCTTCTCATGTAAATTTGATTCTTGCTAGTCTATGGTTGAATTAGTATTTGGGTGTCTGTTGGTTGAATTAGTATGTGGGTGTCTGTTGTTTCTCTTTAACCTCAATGAAGGTTCATTCTTGACCATTTATGGTTGATAATGAGTTTTACTATTTTAGTATGTGAACTCTCAAATTTTACTCTATCATTAAAACTCTTCAGATGTGGCAAGTATGGATAGGACATTTTCATTTTGTGGATCTAGAAAAAATTGTTTACATCTAAAATTTGTAAAATGGAGTAAAAGTTAAAAGTAGAATTTAAAAGTTCAAATAGTATTTTTCGGTTGATAATTGACCATGTCAGTGTACTGTCTTCTGTAGTTGTACAGCTACTTTAGTAGTCTTACTGTGATCAAGAGTGAGGATTTCAGTTTATAATTGTGCACATTGTGAACATCAGTACCATTTATATTAGGTTTCAAAAAATTTTGAGAACACGTACTGCACTTTTATTTAGGTGTCTCAATTTTTTAAGGAAACTTTTCAAGCAAATAAGACCAATAGAACACTACTATTAAGGGTGTCAAGCAAATAAGACCAATTGTAACATTGTGATTACCAAGTCAATAATATGATTGTCTATCTGACCAATTTGGTTAGGGTTGATCCCTGATATTCAAATTACAAGACGTCTTGATTTACTTGGGAAGTAACAACAATGAGAGAAGACATCAAGAAAAACCAAAGTCAGTTCAAAATCACCGCAAATTTCCAAATATCTCATCAACCAATATACTCTCTTGGTTCATCTTCATATCAGAAAGGGTGGCTCAACTTGGCCCACCAGTTTAAGGCTTCACGTTCTCCCTAATAAACTGCTCTAGCTGAGAGATTTCGCCTGTCAAACCGGAAGCTTCTCCAACTACTACCTGGTTTTCGCACTGTGAAAATGAGAACGCTTCTCCAGGTGTCCCTAGTGTAATCTCGTCTGAGATATCTGCGTCGGATACAGCAGTTCTTGAAGCACGAAGCTTGTCACTGAATCATTTTCAATAGAAAGTGAAAGATCAGAGGGGTTGCACTTTGAGCAAAATGCATAAGCAAATGATTAGAAACAATAATGTCACTTAACAACCAAATAAAATTATATATAGCATGTGAGTTAAAACTATATATACCCATGTTTTTGTCAATTGAGATGACTGGAGAACAGCCTGAGAAAAAAAGTAACTTAAAAAAAATGTAATCTCACATTTCCTTTTCAAGCTGCTTTTTTATGAACTCCTTTGTATGTGCAGTAACTTTATCCACTTTGTTGCAGAGTAGTAGTACTGGAATCTTCTTCTTGACCACAGTCACCTTGGTCAAAATATCATAAAGGTACCTTCAGAAGGAGAAAAATAAACGAGATGTTCAAATCAATTGTCCACTAAATATGTAAATGCAACTTTACAAGTGCCATAAACAATGTAAGTTGAGAAGAAAAGATTGATTGTTAAGTACTCTGAAGCAGCACGGCAATTGGGTAAAAATTCTACAGCATCCACAACAAAGACAATTGCAGCTGCTTGAGGCAAGAATTCCTCAAGTTTTGGCCGAAGGCGAGAATGACCCGGCACATCAACAACATGAACAGGTTTTATTTTGCCCTTCTACAGAAGAATAAAAGCAGGTGCAACGAAATCAAGTTTAAAATCTACTACATCCATTAATACAGGACAGAACATATTGGTTTGCAAAAGCCAGGGATAAAAAGAATCACATAATGCATTCAAGGTAAGCTAGTTTAGGGAATTATGTATATATAAAGATTCAGAACTCAAGATCTGAAAAAATGAAAGGGAGAAAAAGATACGTGTACTATTTAGGTGATTACACATTTATAATAATTATTACCTTGGTTGTCTCAGAGTGTAGTATAAAAGTGCCTTCATTGGGTTCCATTGAGGTCACAGTGCCCTGATGTGATGATCCATCTTTAAGCTAGTGCCAGCAACAAAAATTAATTTACAAAGTGAGATTGCATCCAAATAACTTCAACTCAATAAAAGATTTCCTTTTCAAAATCTATATGCACTAACAACTTACCTGGTAAAATAAAATAGTTTTTCCACTCCCACTAAGCCCAGTGAGTACAACGGTACTAGATGTTGTGCGCTTGAACAACCGAGCTGCAATAAAGCAAGATATGAATAGAGAACAAACTATTAAAGGTTATACTTTAAAAATATAACCAGTGTTGCAAAAATCGCGCCTAGGCGCCGATTTGCTAGGCGGTCAGCCTCCTAGGCGCCCTAGGCGGTCTCCAAGCGCCTAGCAATTTTTTCAACATTGAATATAACAAAATCTATATGATGTGCAAACATAGAACCACAAAAATAACAAGATGGAGCCATTGATAACTTAGACCAAACTATAATAGATAGATGGAGGGAAATACAGGAAGAAAGATGTTTTTGTCCTCTGATCCTCTACTGTAGTTTTCAAATGGAAGTGGGTTTAAAGAAATATTTTGTTCACTCATTTGCAATATGTGGCATTGTGGCAACAATAGTCCAAGGACAAGAGCATCCACGGTTCCACACTAAAATAGATTTTTTGTTCTGGTCTAGAAACCTGCTCTAATTATTTTGGCGACGACTAAGGAAGCATATGCACCTATACATAATACTCATAATACCAGGACCGAGTATAGCAACACCTTTCTTTACTGCTAAAACTGTACTGTTTTAACACCGCCATTACAATTCCTTCCCTTTACCTAGTACCCAAAATGGCAAATGGGCATTCTATTATGGACCTCCATTAGGTTATAGATGCAAGAAAACTAAACCAGAGTTAACTAACATCCCTAAATAATTGAGTTACCCAATACTGCTAAGTAAAATTAGCAAAAATTATAATTTAGAAGAGTCGAGTTGAGATGAGAAATTACTGATGAAGAACAAAAAAGCGGTGAATAACACAACTCCAATTGCAGCATAAAGTTGAGTAGGAGGTATCTGATTGACCAACACCTCAGCTTCACGCAGCCATTTTTGAGCTTGAACCTTCAATTCCTCAATTTTCTCCTTTTCCATTGTGACTAACACTACTCCACAAGTGACACACTTCAATTATTTCAAACCCTATAAGACCAGTAAAATTTCAAATTAATAAGAAATTTTCAAAATTCACCATACAAACAATGTTAGCAGAGAAAGGAGGATCTTCATCAATTGATGAGAATTGAGAATGAATTTCAAACATGTAAAATTCATATTGGTGAAACTTACCTGAGACCCACCGGCGAGCCAGGGAGATAACAAAATAATACAGATTTGTAGCTCTAATGAATCTGGGTTTTCAATCTCACTTTAAACTAAAAGCACCTAGAAAAAAAAATGGAAAAAAAAAAAAAGAAGTTCTTTCGAAGTTTCTGACAGTAGGGGTGGAAATAAGAGAGGCTAGGACTTGAAAAAAGTTTGTTCGGTTTTTAAAAAATGATACCATTCGGTTTAACATTATAGTTCAGTTCGGTTTGAAAAAGTTCGGCTTCGGTTCGGAATTATTTTGGTTCGGTTTAAGAACCTCCAATTCTCAACATTTCCTAGTTTTCGGAACATACTACCAAACAACACATATTCATAGTCCAAACCCAAAGTCTAAACATCATATATCAAAATAGCAATCCAGTCCAAACACACTACTATCAAAGTACCAACTACCAAACATCACATAGTTCAAAGTCAAAGTTCAAAGAATCCAAACTGAAACACCACATAGTCATTACATAACAAATTAACAACATAGCAATCCAAAAACAATTACACAATCAATAAATGATTTTGACATTTACTTGGAGTATACACATAATCTCTGCAAATATTATTAGCAGCATCCAAGTCCTAGAATTCAAAAAATATATGCAGACGGCCGTTGTTTGCCAAAATAGAACTCAAAGCCAAACTAATTTATATGGTTGCACTACTGTGTATTTGCCATAAACACATACGGAGATCCAAAAACTATTAGAAGGTCATTTTCATTGGTTATTTTTCATTTATTAGTTTTATTTGGAGGTTATCAGCAGAGGAGATCATTTCTCAAAGGTGTCAGTGGCGGACCCAGGATTTTTCTTCAGTGGGGGCAAAGAAGCACAGGGAAAATAAATTCAAAAATGTTCAAATACAGATAAGATAGTTAAAATACAAAATAAATTATAAATTACAATACAAGGTTTACGATGAACTACGAGATAATATTCCTCTACGCTCTTTCATATTTTGAAATCGTTGTAGAAAAATCATTTAACAAATTAACATCAATAAAATAAGTCTGCAGTTGGATATCTAGTACTTGAAGTTCAATATTAGAAAAATCATTTGACAAATTAACATATAATTCATTATTCATGAGTTCATGACAAATTGACAACCAAATGCTTAATAGAAAGCAAAGAACTGTTTTACAGGCCCTTAGGTTTCCATCTTCTAGTATAATTCTTGTAAATGGGTTTTCTCAATGGAACTCAAACAACTAAAAGCTTAAAATAACCAGAACCTTATCATTTTTCAGATTTAAGATGTCTAGTTTAGAGATAAAGCAATTCACATACAATTTAAGTAAAATTGTAAAAAGGACCTACTTAATTAATGGCAATTAGCATATTCAATGGCAGCAGAGGCCAATTCCTATGCAAATTAGGATTAGGATTTAGCAATCCATGGGCAAATTCAGGATGCATCAAATTATTTATAAATGAAATACATTTTAATTAATTACTGCAAATTATGGCAGTAAGCCAATTCCTATGCAAATTCAATGGCAGTAAGCCAGATTAGGATTTAGAAATCCATGGGCAGATTAGGAATTTAGGATTTAACAAATTTATGCCAATTAGCCGATTAGGATTTAGCAATTCTAAAATCAATTCAAAAATTAGGGCAAAATTAAATTAGGGTATTGAACTGAGAGAGGCTCGGAGTTGAACCTGGCAGCGGAGTCGTCAGTCGTGGGCGGTGGCGTCGGAACTCACGGAGTCGCTGTTCAGGCTTGAGATCGAAGACGGAACTTGCGGTGGGCGGTGGCGTGACTGGCGTCGGCCGTCGGGCTTCAGCTCTTCAGCTCTCGCGGAGTCGACCGTCGACGGAACTTGCAGTGCTTCACCGCTTCAGTCGCGGTCTCGTCGTCTCGCCTCTTCAGTCTTCACGCAGCAGTACGTAATGAAAGTATGAAACAAATGAAATTAAAAAAAAAAAAAAAAAAATTATATATAACAGTCCCAAAACGACGTCGTTTTGGGGCTGAATAATTTGGCAGGTCCGCCACTTGCTGAGAATTCTTCCTGTAAATTAAAACAAAAATTAACCAAAAAGCTGTGGCCATAGGTGACTCTATGGCCTTGTTTGGCAATCAGCGGTCAGCGGTAGCGAATTGTGTTAGCAGTTACCAAATAGCGAATTATATTAGCAGATTTGACTAGCGAATTGTGTTAGCGATTTGTAAAAAAAGTGTTTGGTAAAATTAACTGTTCAGCTTAACAGTTAACATGTAAAATGACCTAAAGGGTATATATATATATATATATATATATATAGAGAGAGAGAGAGAGAGAAGAGAAAGAGTGCAGGAGAGAGAGATGAAGAACAATACCTGTGCGAAGGCAAAATAGAGGATTTTCAAGCTATTCACAAGCCTCTTGGGTGGTGCACGACAGCAATTTATCATCTACGGCGGAGGGATGGCCGGAAATAATGTCGACTGAAGAACACTATACACAACGGTGCACCTCCTGGGCCAGAACCGCCATCACGTTGCCGCCGCAATGGGTGCACAGAGACAAAAAGATGGAGACCTGGAGCCAATGCCATCAACATAGTTCTTGTTCCCAGTGATCTTGGTCTTGGTAGGGCCGTTGGCGATGAAGACAACGTGGTTCATTTTCTTTGAAACAACCACGTAGTCATTATACACTCCAACTAAAGCTATGCTGACCAACTAAACAGTCACAACTCAGAAATAATATTCATATACATACATATATACTTATGTATATAAGAATATCAAAGAGTTGGGGACAGAACATAAGATGCATGCATGTGTAAAACTCTTATTTTATTTGCAAAAATTTAATTCAGCAAGAATTATATTCCATCGGAGTATATAAGAATATCAAAGAGTATTTTATTCTCCAACACTCCAGCGTAGAAGAAGTAGCAGGTCGACAATTTGGGTGAACGTCAGCCGCGGCGACCGGTTGCGGTGGCGGGGTGCTTGACTCCATGGTTCCTCTCTTCGTCGACGGTGGTAGCTGAGCATCAGCGGTAGAGGAACTCAGCAGTGGTGCGGCTGGACCTCTCCTTCGGCCTTCCTCTTCTTCTAGCAGCGACGAGCAACAACGGAGCCTGGTGGCTGGCGGGGCAGGTGGAGTCGAGCGGCGGCGGGTTGTCGTAGTCGGAGCTGACGGCGAATACGGTGCAAGTAAAAAATGTTGAGAACGTCAAAAAAGGTTGCCATGTCATATTTTAATATAAAAAAAACACCTCCACATCAGCATATTTTAACCTGTAACTTGATGTCAACCTGTAAAAAAAGTCTAGGCGACAAAAATTTAATGGTTCGTGGCTCCAAATAGCACTTATCAAAGTTCAGGGTGCAGCATGAAGAAACGCTTATAGTTCATGGTGCGGGATGACACTTTAGCCTTTTTTTTTTATAATATATATAGGGGTGTTTTGGGGAAAGACCTTTCTTTCCCCAAAACGCCATAGCAACACGCTGCTAATAGCAGTGTGTTGTAACTTAGCGGTTTGGAGCAAATCCGCTGCTCCAAATCGCCATTTGGTGAATTATAACTATTAGATGAATTCACTACTTTTAATTAAGATTTATAGTCATTTTAAATTTAAAAAACAAATATCTTTACATGATGCAACTTGAAATTTCATCAAATTTAAGGAACTAACATTAATAAAACCAAAATGTGCTTTCATTGTTAAAAATACTACCTCTGTCTAAGAAAATTTACCTTCTACATGTTCAGGTAGGATAGTATATTTTCCCAAATTAAATGCATAATCAACATTTTAGTATTTTAAATTGTTATTTAAAGGGTATTTTGTGTAATGAAGCTATAAATTTATTGAACAGGATAATTTTTGTTGGACATCCCAACATAGTACGAAAGACAATTTTTAATGCAAAGAGGGAGTAAGATATTTATAACAAAAAATAATGTTGATGAATTTGCAGATTGCTTTTATTTTCCATTGTTGCTAAGTTGCATGTTCCTCCAAGCATCTAATTTACTAAAATTCTTACCAACTTACCAAAATTAAGCCACAGAGGTTACTCTGATTTTATAAAGTCATATAATGATAAAATAAAAACTTTATCATTGACAGATTCCAATTCAATTTCCTTCTATACAATTTTGTTTTTGGATATGACAATCAGTGGTTGTTGCAAACATACACTCTGTCCAACCAAAATTTAAGTTCAGAAATTTTATCATTTTCAGATTTTCAATTCAATTTCTTTTCATACAAACTTGTTTTTGACAATGACAACATGTTTAAAAAGTCTCCACATACAAAGCCGGATTTTAGGCTGTGCAAGCTGGGCTACCGCACAGGGCCCCAATTTTAGAGGGGCCCCAAATTTTAGAGGTCCAATATTTAATTTTTACCTAGCTATTTTAGAAAGAAAAATTAAAAGTTTTCAATTAAATTTAAAAGGTTCCATGAAGAGGTGGTAAGAATGTGTATTTATTGTAATTTAACTTAGATGTCAAAAGTTCAAAACTTCATGTATTGATTTTAAAAATTATAATTTTGATAGGGCCACATTTATTTACCAAAACAGGGCCACAACAATTTAAAATACGGCCTTGTCCAAAACGACGTCATTTTGGGGCTGAATAATTTTGGGCAGTGGCCCCATGGCAGGTCCGCCTCTGAAAGGTGTCCCACTCTCCCAAACTAGAATGTGTTTCTGTTGCCCTCTAACCTGATACTTTAGCTACACTATCTTGGAGAAATTTTCACATAAATCAGCAAAGGAAACTATGAAATTAACTCAACTTGTTTCATACCTTCGTCACAGTAGCAAAGAAAACTACCCAGTCAAAGAGACACAGAAAATACAACCAAACAACAGAGAAGAAGGAAATTTCAGTAGCACAATTTCTCTAAGAAGAAAATTTCAGTGCAAAATACACAGTCGAAGAGACACTAATAACCAACACTTAATAAACATTAAATAGTAAGACTAAGAACCAACACTTATGGTAAATTAATTTCTGCCTTTCTGCCCTCATCAATTTATGGAAAATTAATTACTAGGATAGATGAAGGCATGAAGCAGATTATTGAGGCATAAAATATAAAATGCAGTGACCGCAGCGGCAGCTGCTCCACTGTCCAAGACTCTGAGGCAGCAGCAGCCAGCGCCACCGCAGCATCAGCCGGCGCCACCGTCGCAGGACCATATATATATACCAATAAGCAATTAGTGTTTAATTTCGTTATTAATTAGATGGGGAATGTTGTATTACTTGTACAGATTTGCTTTGGTTTTTCAACATTGTGTACGCTGCCTTTTTTTACATGACAACTTTAGGTTAAATAATGCAAAGCATACTGCATATATACCCTTTTTACATGATTGTTTATTAAATAATGTAAAGCATATATGCTTTAGGCTGCTTTAATACCGCAGAAGATCGATGTATGGCGTGGGCTCACGTTATTGATTTGATTTTTTAAAAATAAAATTACTTTTTTTTTTTTATGACAAGAAAAACCCACAGATATTAATTAAACAGTGTATTGAATAAACCTCACCTTGTAATTCTAATCGGTAAGAATCATTAGAAGGTAAATCAGACTTAGTTGTCTATAGTTGATTGATTCAAATTAAGAAAATTTTAGGAATAAGGTTCAAATTGGCCACTGAACGTAACCTGAAAATGCAATTAGGCCACTGAACGAAAACAAAGTGCAATTAGGCCACTGAACACTCCAAAAATGTGCAATTTCACCTGATAGCAGGTTACCCTCGATTTTAGCAGGTTATCTGCTTACGTGGCAGCTGAGTTGGCATTTTTAATAAATTTTAAATCATTTTTAATAAATTTTAATAATAAATTTTTATTTAAAAAAATTTTTAAAAAATAAAAACGACTTTATTTTATTTTTTATTTATTTTTTTTTCAATTTTTTTATAAAATTTATTATTAAAATTAATTATTAAAAATGATTTAAAATTTATTAAAAATGTCAACTCAGCTGCCACGTAAGCAGGTAACCTGCTAAAATTGATGGTAACCTGCTATCCGGTGAAATTGCATACGTTTGGAGAGTTCAGTGGCCTAATTGCACGTTTTTGGAGTGTTCAGTGGCCTAATTGCACTTTTTGTTCGTTCAGTGGCCTAATTGCATTTTCAGGTTATGTTCAGTGGCCAATTTGAACCTTATTCCTAAAATTTTAATACAATATTTAAGTGTAATGCTATTAGTGTTAGTAATAAATTTATAATATTGGACAATAAAATGTATGATTTACCAAGTGGCTTGTGGTCCACTGATATTGGATTGCTTTTATACGTGGGAGGTCTAGGTTTCAAGCCTCAGTGTAGGTGTAGTTTGTTTTTTTATTTTGTAATAAAATGTATGATTTTATTGTGATTTGATTAGTTAGGTATTTGTTAACAATTACTCCATATGTATACATATATATAGATTCCCCATCCACCACTGCACCCTTCCCTCTTAAAGAGTTAAAGTTGTGTTAAAAGAGACAATTCCCCCAACTCCGTAGTGGGATTGCTAATGTCATTGCAACTATCACCCCTCCAAGTGGCTATCTTGTAATCATCTTGAAATTGGAAAGTAGTTCGCATCGAAATATTATTATTTATTTTTATTAAAGATATTTTTATTCTGAGTTTATATATATATATATATATATATATATATATATATATATATATATAGGGATGCAAGGGCTAATTCAGAAATCTTTGCCAGTAGGGCCGAAAGATTAAAAACCAATGAGATATTTTGAAAAAAAATACTTGAGGCAGAGTCATAAATATTGTTAATTAGGATGAAAATTTAAAATACATCAAAATGAGATAAAAAATATTCAAAACAAAATATGAAATATAATTAATTAGATAAAATAATTTGAATAGAAAACATATTATAAAACTCTATCACT